TGTCTATAGAATCCTGAAAGATGGTGTTTTTGTTTGGAACCGAAAGCCCTCCGCGAAGGAAAAATTCCGCTTTTGTTGAGAAAATAGGGGGTATTAAGTCTATATTTTCATAAAATAGGGCAATTTAACACAGTTGATTCATAATTTAGTTCACAATACTGTCATCTAGGTGAACCCAATTAGAGAAAGCTTTAAAAGGTGTTCAGATCTTATAGGTAGGACCAGTGTGAATAAAATATAAGCAACATAGGATTTTTTTGCCTTCCGTTGCTGCGACCATTACCAAACATACACAATGTCGTTTCATGCTTTTTATAAATTATCAGAACATTATAGGTCTAGTCATTTGGAATGAGAATATATAGTTTCAGGTTACCGTACGTAAGGGCTGGCAGTACCGCAACTGGTGACATTACTCGTAGGTGGAGTGTCGCCTATGCCACCTATTTTTCGCACATCATAATCTTATGTTTGTGAGTAGACCATTTTGACCAGCCTGTGCTAATAACTCTCTAAATACCGAAGAAGCTCTACTGAAATGCCTTGGTACAGGGACGCCATTTCAAATTGAACTGTAAAGGGCTTTTAGTTCAATTTATTGGAAGATAATTGTGGAAGTGCAGACACAGTTTAATTTCCAAAATATATTCATTCACCTCCCAAAATATAGTCTCCAGCAACTCAAACCCAGAGAACAAAATGTAGTGTAGACAAAAGCTCAAGTTTTGTCTAAAAGTACAATTGTACAAATGTTTGACAAAAAAAAATATTAAAAAAATAAAAAATTGATAGGCTGCCACTGACATTTAGTGGCCAACCCAATTATTTATGCGAACTAACATGACTACAAAACCAAGCAAAATGATCTATAATCGACAAAGTTCAAACATAGTTTACGCACTATCTAATTTAGTCAAATATCGAAATTCCATTTTCGTTAACAATTTTCCGTGTCACACAGCAGATACTTACTGTATTATATACTTAAAATACACAAAATCCAAGACAAACTACGATCGATTGTTATACTTCGGGTTTAATGGAAATTATTAACTTTCAGGTTGTTCCCAGAGATTGAGTAGTCAATGGAACCATGGTCTACTCTACTTCTGTATGTCTTAAATGTTCCTGCTATGAACAATGTCACAGCTACAGCATTTGCAGATGAAACAGCATTGATTGCAACGCACAAAGATCTATCAAGTTCTGTTAGTAAAAACAGCTACCAATAGTGGACACATAGGTAGAAAATCAAACTAATGGAATTGTAATCGATCCACGTTTGCCCCAATGAAGCATTGATGGTACCATCATACCATTGAAGCCCAACGCTAAATACTTAGATAATATGACCCTTGACACCGGGCTCTAGTGGAAGCGCCATACCAAACAACGGGAGGGGGGACAACTGAACTTCTGCTACAAATAACCTTAATGGCGTTTAAGAAGATCATCAGAGCCAGATCTTCAAACCTGTCTGGCTCTATGGTCGACAACTATGGGGCCAAGAATTTTTTTATGAAGAAATTTATTGAAACACTAACTACTTAACCAAACTATACTATCGAATTATGTGGAGTGGCCCATTCTGCTCTAGCAGACGCAGCTTTCTTCGAATGTCGCTCCACCGCCGCCTTAATTGTTCTTCGTCTTGGGCTTCCCAGCCTCCATGATAAACCTTCCTAGACAGTAAAACCCAAAAATCCTCTATTGGGCGAGCCTGCGGCAAGTTTATAGAATTATCGTTTTTGGGAACAAAAGGTATGTTGTGTTGTCGAAGCCAGTTTTGGGTATCTCTTGAGTAATGGCATGATGCTAGGTCTGGCCAAAACATGATATGGTCATTAGAATGATGTTCGTGAGAAAACTGAAGCAATTTGGATAGATGGTTATCGATATAGCTCTGACTATTCAAAGCTTCACCCCTCACTTTTCCCACAAAAGGTTGGGATACATCGCTGTTAGAAATTGTGCACCAGACATGGCATTCCTCTACGTTGTTCGTATAAAATCCGTCGTTTTCCCTCATTTCAGAATTACTCAAAGTGAAATACTTTTCGTCATCTAAAAGATAATGATTATGAGTTGACGACAGCATATTAGTATAAGCAGGAGTTGAGAGTATTTGAGGCACTTGAGTCTGTTCCGATATTTAGGACCATTCCTTCTCAACTCCAACGATATCGTATTCTTAGAACATCTGTATTGACGAGCCAGTCTCCTTGTTGACATTCCAACCTGATTTTTTGCTCTTCTCACCAAACTCTCTGACCTCTGTGCAGTAAATGCACGTGGTCTTCCACTTTTTGAGAGATCCGGACACGGTATTCCCTGCTCGCACTCTGCTATTGTTCGATAAATGGTTCTGCGTGAAATGTTTTCAGCTGCATGAACACCCGAATGCAGAAGCTTTATAGCTGGTGGACAACCACAGTACTGGCCGACGATTGGAGACGACCAAACCATACGTACTTGAATAGTGTTTTGAAACCATAACAGAGCATGTGACCGAATTCTGAGTGATAGTGTTAGCCACATGATTATCTAAAAGACAACATTGTATTGCCTCTAGTGTTAAGTATCAGTTTGCGAGAAGATACAGGAAAATTCGTGGTGGTCCAAATTGATCAGTTTTAATGGGCATCCAAGCCACTCTAAAAGCAAAAAAATGAAAACGTGTGTAAATATCGAGTTTGTTTTTTGCAGGTCTTGTCTAATCCATTCCAATATCCGAGCCAATATTCAAAGGGAGCTGCGACCACCGGAAGTTTGAAAACACGAAAACATCAAAGGGATTCAGCGGTGCTTTAGTTGCAGAACATTAATTTTACATAGCTCAGTGCACTAATTCTGTAAAGGTCTCCCTCAGTGCAAATTCATTTTAAAAGGCGGATTTAATGTTTCGGCTACCTGTTTTGTTCGAATTTGTGAGAACAGTCCTGGTAGCTAGTTGAAATCTATTAATTATAAAATTTCATAGAGACTAGGGTTTCTCGCATTTGTAGCGTTAAGGGTTGTATTAATGCGCTGTCGGTCTTCGTGTCAGAGTTTGTCAACGCGTATTACCCTAGAAAGAAGCAAGTTTACAAAGAGTACAAAAGGTGTCCATAAACCGCTGTGCACCTTCTTTTTCAGATAGATTGACAATTTCTCGACCCAGTTTGACGAAAAATATTATAAATAGCTAGGACCTCATCCTGTGTTGGTTAGATATTTACATAAGGTTCTGTTAATTATAGCGCTTTGCCCAGTGGTTCTTCATAAGTTTGATATAAGCAAGCACCTCAAAATACACCTTCTAAGTGTCTTGCATGCCAAGGCTACTTGCAGAAGAAAATACAAATAGTTCAATTATGAAAAGGAAAAAGAAAAAAATAATAAGAGGTGGCCAGACAAATTTTATTTTATAAGGTTGTACTGCGTTTGTCTTTCAAGCTCCTCAATATACTCCGACCGAATACGATTGAATATCTTTCAATATCCTCCGCACGAACTTGCCGGTCATAGGCGTTTCCAGGTTTTCATTATGGTATATTATCCCATGTACGGCTCACTGTTCTGCATTGCATTGATACTGTTTTGCCACAAACTTCAGAGATGTTGGAGTATTAATTCCCGCAAAAACAAGTAAAACTTGTTTCAAGATAATTTCACGTTCAATAAAGTTGGATCACAAGGTTGTCAAGAAAGGGTATTCCGATGTTTAACTGACGGTCTTTTTTTCCAGATCCTTATATCATGCTCTAATAGAAATTACATATTTTACCTACTATTACTACTGCTATCCTATTTCTATTGTAGTTACAAAGAGTATGCGAATACATTGCTCTTTTCTATCAGGTTCCTTTTTTTGTTTCACAAGATTCGTTGATAGTAAATTCAGGTAAATGAAAAATGTCCTGGTTTGCGCGACTGAGATCATGAACTTTTATCGTCTATCCAATAGATTCAATCAAACATCTGAACCAACTTCATGAGAGAAACAAACCAACATCCAAACAGGTGTATTGGTATAAAGCCTATCTTGCAAATATCTAGGGATAATACGAGTAATTAAGATTGCGGCACTGCGCATAAGCTTTACCAAAACACAAACAAAAGTAACGTGAACTTAACAATAATGGAGTGCTCAAGAATGCTGAAGCAATGAGGTCAGGGGTGCTTTCTATAGGAAGCATTCCACCTAACTGAATCTTCGGGTTTTGGAATGGGATGCTATGTTTAAAAAACATAAAATAAACAAAGAAGGTTAAACACAGTACCATACACAAACAATCAAAAAATAAGTACGACGATGAAAATGACTAATTTATCGGAGTTATTAATTTAAACTAGATTCAAAACATGAGCTTAAGTGAAAATTGGTGAAAAAATGTATAAAAAATGGAAAAGAGAAACCTTACCAAATGAGTATTGCTACGCACCTACGGCAGATATATATTATACATAGGCAGAGCGGGGTCTTTTGAGCCGCGCGTCACGTGTCACTTATAATATCACTCACACGCTGCGTGTTAGATACAAACTGGCGACATTAGTTGAAGTGCGGGGATGAGCAAACCAGGCTCACGTTGCTTTAGTCGCCAGCTGGCGTTCATTATGAGTGTTAGTGCGTGTAGTAAGTTTGTCGCCAAAAATAAAAAATATTGCTCCACTGAATTTTGGGCTATAAATTACAAGTATCATCGTATGGTCTTCATGTAAGTGTATTTTGCTTTCAATATTGTTACTGTTAATAGCTGTTGCAACAAAAGTTAACTATTTCCAAAAGGTTTTTAGTTATAAAGCCATATTAAAAGGAATGCGGGAAAGGAGTCATTTGAGCCAAAACGAAAGGAATTGAATGAGCCATGTTCAAGTGACCCCTTATATTAGTTGTGATTTTTGGTTGCACTGTTCATAACATGTTATGAGTAATATGGTTAAATACTATGCAAATTAATAATTGCTAATTATGCCGTATGCTTGAATATTTCAACAATAATATTTTTTCATTTTAGAATGCGAACGTACAAAGGAAAACGGATCAAGCTAAAATTAGCAAGGATTTGATGAAACGTGCTGTAAGTGGAGTCATAAATGGTACAAGTATCCGTAAGGCAGCTGAAGATAATAAAACAGACAGAACCACGCTTTCGAGGTATGTCAATAAATTAAAAGCTACCCTTGATTCTGATGTGTTCATGGGGTATACAAACCCACGCCAAGTTTTTTCGGTCCGACAAGAACGAATATTAAAAGACTACCTCATACAAGTGGCATCTATATTTTATGGTTTAACTCCATCGGATGCTTATGAATGTGCCGTTAAATATAACCTAAAAGTACCAGACAATTGGCATCCAAATGAGCGAGCTGGAAAGGTGTGGCTAACCGCTTTTCTCAACAGAAATAGTGCGCTGTCTATTAAGAAACCAGAGGCGACCAGCTTAGGAAGAGCGACATCATTTAATAAAACAAACGTCAGTCTTTTCTTTGAGAAGCTGGCCATAGTAATGGACAAGTATACATTCCAGGATGTGGAATATCGACGAGACTGGTGTTCCAACAGTCTTGTAACCGGGTTGAATACTCGTAATAGCAGCTAAAGGAACGCACAACATTGGATCTGTAACGTCAGGAGAACGTGGAACTAATGTCACTGTAATTGGAGCTGTATCAGCAATTGGATATACGATTCCTGTTATGTTTATATTTCCTAGAAGGAAGTTTAAAAACTAATTTATAACAAACGGACCACCTGAATGTATAGGACGTGGCAATGGAAGCGGTTGGGTTACTCATGACGAGTTTTTTGATTTTATGAAACACTTTATAAACCATGTCAAATCATCAGCAGAATTTCCAGTTTTATTATTACTGGACAACTATTCGTCACATCTAGCAATTAAAAAAGTTGAGCTTGCCAAGGAAAATGGAGTGGTCATGCTCTCATTTCCACTCCATTGTACCAATAAATACCAAAATTAGTAGCATCAGCTCTACCGTTGGCAATGACCCCGATTAATATAATGAGTGGATTTAAGAAAGCAGGTATTTACCCTTTTAATAACGATGCTTTCTCTTAAGAAGACTTTATGCCATCATATGAGACCGACCGTCCAGAGTCAAACACAAGAACTCCCAGTAGCAGAGACAATTGGTACGAATGATGGGCTTCAATGTCTCGGGCCTGAAACAAGAGCACCTTCAGCAAGTATTGAGCTGGAGAAAGAAACATCTGAGATCTTGTCATCGCCCGTTTCTGTGCCAGCTACCCTAGAGACGACAATTTATAAAGAAAATCAAGAACCAAATGCTAGGCCGTCTACGTCTAGAGGATATTCCATTTTCACCGGAGTTTGTGAGGCCATTATCGAAAGCAAGGCCCAGAAAACAACAAACACGAAGGAAAAAGAGAAGTTCTGCAATTTTGACAGACACTCCGGAGAAAGATGGGCTTGCTTCACAACAACGTAAAAGAAAAACAAATACTAACATGAAGATAGAGAGGCTGAAGGGAAAGGCAGTGAAAAAAGCAATTTTTATGAGCTCCTCAGAGTCTCATGAAGAGAGTCACTCTGATGAAAAAATTGATAAAAAGGTCGTTGGGAAAAATAAGAAGAAAAATGTAAAGAAATTACAACTTCCATCAGACACTGAAGAGGATGATTGTTTTTGTCTAGTGTGCACTGAGTCATATTCAGACAGTCTTCCTGGAGAAGAGTGGGTACAATGCTCTAGTTGCCGTGCATGGGCTCACATCAAGTGCACTTCTGGTGTCAATACTATTTATGTTTGCATGAACTGTGACAGTGACTAAACTAGTTATCTAAATCACTTTTCTAGTTATTACAAGTTTATTTAAGTTTGTTTTTATTTCTATGAGAAGCCTTAGAAATTTGGTTAGGTATTTTATACGTTTTACGTGCAAAGGTTTGAATAACACATTGTTTTTGTTCCTATAAGGAGTCTTAGACATTTTATTATCTCTCTGTTTCTACCCATCAGGTATTTTATATGTTCTACGTGCAAGGGTTTGAATAACACATTGTTTTTGTTCATATGAGGAGTCTTAGAAATTTTGTTATCTCTCTGTTTCTACCCATCAGGTGTTTTAATGTGTTAAGGTTTCAATAACTTAATGGCTCAAATGTCCCCTTTGGATGGTTCACTTGACTCCGCCTGTGGGGTCCAATGAGCCGTATGCATCATCTGACTATAATGTGAATTTATCAAATTAAACAAAGGATAGGCCAAAATATTTTAATCCTATAATGCGGTCAAGTGAATAAATGAGTGATTTAAGAATAACTTTTTTCTATTTACTTCTTATGATGACTTGAACAAAAATCTGATCAAGTGACCCCGCTCTGCCCTACATAAAAATAAAGCAAAATGAATAGAATATGACATTTCTCAGTCTACTGCATTAAAAAACTGAAACCAAACAGGCCACTCGTCGACGTGTGGTATACGCGGAGCAGCCACGAACGTTAAAGCAAAATGAAAACTATAACACTGGTGAACAAAATTAAAATAAGTTATTGTAACATGGTCAAAACAAGGTGGTTATTATGTAAAACGTACCCAAAAACCCCGAAATAGCATTAGTCTTTTTCTATCACCCACGGTTTTCTTGCAATAATGCATTTTACTTGCTGCTTATACTCGTAAAGCATAAGGACATGTGTGTAAGAGTACTAATAAACACTCGAATAAACATTAATCTCAGAATGTTGTTGTCGATGTTTTACCGCGATATGTTGCTCCTGAAATATCTCTTAACAATGTCCTGTAATAATCAGCAAGCAAATAGAGACTCCATTTGGCTTGATACCGTTTTTCCATAGCAGAAATGTCTTGGTGGAACCGTTCACGATGTTCATCACTTAGCGCACCTAAATTTTCCGGAAAAAAATCGCGATGAGAATCCAAAAAGTGAATTTTTAGAGACATGTTACAACCCATTCCTTTATAAGCATTAATCAGTTCACTCACAATATCTTTATAATTGTCCGCCTTCACATTGCCTAAAAAATTTTGAGTAACTGATTTAAAAGCTTTACAAGCTCGTAATTCAGTTTCATTTAGAGCACTGTCATATACATCATCCTTCATGATTTTCCATATTTGTGGACCCACAAATATGCCCTCTTTAATTTTTGCCTCACTAAGTATCGGAAATGTTTGTTTTAAATGCAGAAACCCTCTTCCATTTTGATCCATAGCTTTCACAAAATGTTTTATCAGTTCCAACTTAATATGCAAAGGTGGAAGCAACACGTTTTTGGGATCAACTAGTGGTTCATGTTCATGAGCAATGTTGTTGAGGTCCGGAGTTAATACCTGACGTAGTGGCCACTCCTTCTGTTCATAATGACGATCTCGCGCACGACTGTCCCATTCACAAAGAAAACAACAATATTTGGTATATCCCAGTTGCATTCCAAGAAGAAGGGCTATTACCTTTAAATCTGCACATATGGCTCATCCATATTCATTATAACGGATATGCTCTAACAGAACTCGCAAATTTTCATATGATTCCTTCATATGAACTGCGTGCGCTATAGATGGATATTTATTACCGTTGTCTACCAATACCGCTTTTAAGCTAAGCTTGGCGCCAATCATTTGGATCATGTTTCTGTCCTAACGCGTCAAACAAATTGTTGACATCGGAGCAATATATGAAGTCCCTTTCTTGACGGAAACGGTGTGTGAGGTCTTGTTGCCGTTTTCGGTCAAAAGTAATGTTAACATCACCGTGGAGAAGATTCCATCCTTTTAATCTTGACGCTAAAAGTTCTGATTGGGATTTTGACAGATTTAGTTCTCGAACTAGGTCATTAAGTTCGCCCTGTGTGATCAAATGCGGCGCTGTTGAACATCCTGGCCGGTCAAACGAAGGATCGAAAATGTTTACGCTTTCTGTACCACCACTTTCAGAATCGGTGAATTCGACTTTTTTATTCAAGGACCAAGATTCTGGTGGAGCTGGGATAGAAAAGTTAATCACTATGCTTAACGGGCCGCAAAGCTGATGGTAAATTAAAATACTTAACAGTATGTTTCGATTTTGGTCCAATACCTTTAATATTTGTGAGGCAAAAATAGCAATCAGTAGTATGGTCTCTCGGTTTTCTCCAAACCATTGGTACCGCAAAAGGCATTTTACGATTGTCGCCTCTTAACCAACCTGTTAACAATGTTACACAAGTCTTACAACATATATGAGGGGCCCATAGTTTATCTTGGTCGCCACCTTTAATTCCAAAATAAAGTTCGTATGCTTTCAACACAAGGGGAGTAAAAGTACGTTTTTGGGATCTTTCCGCACACATAATAAAAACTGTTCGCACTATTTACACAATTTCTAGGCATTGTCCATAAATCTAGACTCGATCACAATACACTAAAAACAACACACCGTTTTAACAGAAATTAAGAGTACTCAGAACATCTTAGTAATTAATCTTCAACAGAGAAAACGTAACTGACTCGGCTGCTATTAGTCTACTAATAAACGCAATATTTATGCTCTCTAAACATAGAGCTCGCATTTAATAAACAGGAATAGACATGTCTTAACAAAAATTTTGTTTTTAGATTTGATTTAGGGGTCTCAAAATACATAAGATACACCCAACAATTGTCATGTCACAAATACTGTGTTTATCAGTGTAATTACATGTTTTCATTGTCGTACATATATATACGTTATATATATGTCTTTAACTTGTCTTGTCATATTTTATATAATTTTAACCATTGTACCATGTATCCAGCTCTCACCATGTTACTAGACGTTTCCCTCATCCTATACGAAAACAACTATTAGCAACATCCTCACATACTACTCTCCTGATGATGATGGCAAAGTCCATTGAAAGCTAGAGAGAATTAAAAAAAGTATAAAGAGTCCTCTTTACTTAAATTTTGTCGAAGTACCCAACAAAAGGCGGAAGCTTTAATTTTTCACCTAACTGGTCTAGACGACAATGACCACGTCTCAAGTTATATATATATATATTATAGGTTTGTTTGTTTGTGTGTGCCATTGTTTTCAACATCTTTGCTTATTTTGATCTGCTTTTTAAACATACAGTGCTTTCTTTAATGTACCCCTACACTTTGATTTTTTGAACGGAATAATTCAAAAAATTACGTTAAAACTTGAGGTAATGAAATTGATGCGTGGATACCACATTTTAGAGTAAAACTGACAAGATGAAAATGTCAAGATGGCCGCTGGGCGCCATCTTGTAAAAAAAATTATATGAAAACGGGGGTCTTGTGGCACATCATTTTTAAGCTCCTGACAAGTACTTTATAACTCTAGAATATAAAGTCAATACCTTTACATATTGCAAAATGGTGATACATTTGATAATTACCTGAATACATTGACATTTAATTTTATAATTCTAATAAATACGTTGAGTTCAGTTTAAAAGATGGTGAAAATGGTTGCCTTGAACTTCTTGACACAAAAACAGCCGGTCCGTAACTTTGCGTCGAAAATTTTCAAAGATAGCAACATCGATATTTCTACAAATATTTGTTATTCTCAACCGTATTTCCAATATTGAAGCAGGTTCAGTTTCGAACACCTTTTGCTGCAAATAGCCCCACAAAAAAAGTCTAAAGGTGTCAAATCTGGCGAGCGAGCTGGCCATTCCGCAGCACCTCGACGGCCAATCCAACGACCAGGGAAATTGTTATCTAAATAATTCCTAACTTGTCTGTAGTAGTGTGGTGGAGCACCATCTTGCTGGAATACAATATCAGTATCGAATTCATTAGGATTCGCTTCGACGATTTCAGTGATTAGAGGGTCAGTAGTATTTTCCAGCATATCCAAATACAGTTCCCAGGTTAAAGTTTGTTCGATGAATAGAGTAGAGGCGTCATCTTCAGTTAGCTGATGTACCATTGGAATTTTGTATGGGTGATACTTATTCTTTTTCAAAAGTCTCCATACAGTAGAAGGACAAACCTCACATACATTCGCGATGGAGGAAGTAGACTGTTGGGGATTTACTATGATCTCACCAATTATTTGAACTTGCTTTTCTTCCGGGATGGTCGGATGACCTGGGGGTTTTTTGTTGTTTACACTACCAGTAGCTGTAAATTTATATACAAGCTCCCTTAAATATATTCTACAGATAGGACGATTCGGGAAACGATCATTAAAAATCCTTTCGGTCTCGTCAAAGTTACGCGTCGCACCATAAATAAAAATCGCTTCAATTTTTTCTTCCAATGGACGAGAATTGACCATTTTAAAAATAGTTCAAACAGTATCTAGCACTAAAACTGAAAACTAAATAAGAATATTACAATGATGTTTGTTTTCATACTAATATCCTTGTCACTGTCAACAAAAAATAACAAAACAAGTTTTTATCGCTGTTGCTCTGGATATGGCAGGGAATTACAATTATTTGTAGAGATATGCATGTTAGTGGGTT